GGAGGCCGAGCCGGCGGGGGAGGCGGTGGGGCGGCTGCGCTGGCTGTCCGGTGTCCTGGAGGAGCTCCCCCAGCCCCGGGTCTTCGAGGTGGTGGCGGCGGCTCTGCTGCTGAGGCCGGGGAGTGATGCTGAGCAGGCCGGAGACGGGGGTCGGGATGGGAAGAGCGTAGACGGAAACCAGGCGAGTGCAACGGGAGATGAAGGCGTTGCCGGGCTCCTGCTTTCCTGGCTGCTGGGGAACTTGGAGCGGTTTTCTGCCTTCTGCCTTTTTCTCCCAGGCTCTCTTCTTGCCTCCCTAGCTGGTCACTATTCCCAGTTCAGCAGACCTTATTTGGACCTCTTAACTGGCTGGGGAAGCCACTTGCTCTATGACCCCTTGCAGGGACGGTGGGTTAAAAGTTGTCTTGACAAAGCTGAATTGTCCTGGGAGGAGCTGAGGGAGCGCTTCACCTGCCTCTGTCAGGGATCTGCACTGCTCAGGGGACAGACCCAAGATGCTCTGAAACTCCTGAAGGCACGGGATGGAGACTTTACAGTCTGTGGCCTGAGTGTGTGGACTGACTTACTGGTGGAAGTAGAGGAATATCTGAGGAAAGAAGCAAAGTGCCAACGAATGAACCCAAAAGCAACATGAAAACTTCTGAAATCCAGCAAATCTGCTTAAATCTATTTGATATGAAAGGCAAGAAAACCATATCTCGATGAGGTTGAAAACCAAGCATTGTTGTGACTGCAGATCACACTGTTTCTGACTGCATGTGAAGTCTTTTAGGGAGGCCTGGTGCTTTCTTGTAATTGAGCTGTCAATTCTGGTCACTGCAGGAGATGTCTCTCTTTTCAGTACTTGCTGCTTACCTAATAAAATTAAGAAAATGCTTTCTGTTTCAAATATAGAATAGTTTTCTGTTTAGAAAATATTACTGTTTGGATATGGTCATGGTAGTTGTGTCTCTAACTGCTGGAGGCTGACCAAAAGCTCAAAGGGAAGGTGGAGTTTCAAACACAAAAAACCCAAATTCAGGGTTCGTTTAGTAGTGGTTGTCTCCATTGGGGTGTCTGTTCTGGTGGCCACTTGCATGTTTCTATAGTGCTTGCACATGACTTAGCCCCTAGGTCCAAGCGAAGGTGAGAGAAAGCCAACTGGAAAGCTTGTTGAAAAGTTCTAGAATTAGAAGGCTTAGTAATATGCAAGTATTTCCTAAGAAAACTGCAGTAAAATGTAGGATGTTCTGTGTGGTTTTCTTTCCTTTTCCATAGTCTGTTACATGATTTTTGTTTTGTTTTGTGGAACAGAAAAGTGAGTGGATAACAAACTTTTTTATTAAATGACAAGGTTTTTTTCTTCATTTTATGTTTAATTGGTTTATGTGAACAAAACTTGATCAGGGTGGTTTCTGTCGTACCTTATTACTGTCATTTAAAATGAGTATTGTAATGCAGAGGTAACATGTGCATGTGTATTTAGCTCTGTAAGCTCATATTACCAAAAGCAAGCAGTATGATAAACTCAGTAGTTGAGAAAGATGGGGGAAACTTTTATGTGAATACCACAAAAAGAGGTCGTCGTTAATCTTTTGTGTGGAGTACCTGTCAAGGAGTTTCTATAGCCCATAGTCTTGTAGTTTCAAGATCAGTTGAGACATCTCTCTCTCTTCTGTTGCTGAAGTCCCTTTAGGAAGGGTTAGAAGGTGCTTTGCTTCTGCTTATAAGCTTAAAAAAGCAAATGATATTAAAAAGTGTAAACTGGACTGAAGCTAATTAGAATAATAGTCTGTATTACAACATAAAATAGTGTATACACCTGTGGTAGATATTTCTGTACCACAAAACTAGAGTGGGAAGGATCTTGTGATTTTGAAATGGAAACAATTTCATTGGGGAAAGTACAAGGGGATGAAATTGCTTATCTGGGAAAAGAAATAATGCCTATTTTAACTTGTATGGAAATAATTGTAGACATACGTAAGTTTGTGTTCTTCCCCCTCTTTTAAAACAAAAGAGATACTCAAGGGTAGCACACTTTAAATAGTTAGAAGGACATGCTGCTAATCTCCTATCAAAGATATGACTGTTTTCTTTGGATTTCTTGCTACATCATGTCAGTGAGGCGATGAAGTTATGGAGATCTGCAGATTAACATATTCTAAAAGCTACAGCTGTGGCAGTTGTCTTGCCCTTTCTTAAAAGGGGTTGTGTGTCCTCCCCCCACCATGGAACTTGTGGTGGTGGTCAGTTTTAAAAGACTGCACCATGTCAGTGGACCTCAGGACTGAGTCAGTATTTCTGTGGTATTGAAAGAAATATGAACACTGTCTATAAGCGTTTAAAGCTGCTAGAAGTATAAAGCATGAAGTTTGAACTTATGTTGTCTAGCCACAGTTCCTTGTGTTATGTAGTTTTGGCATTTGGTATGGAAACTCTGCACTTGAACTTGCTCTTAACGCTTTTAACAGGCATAAGGTTTTTTGTCTGTTAGAATACTTTTTGCTATCAGAGGTTCCTGATGAATGATATACCCAAAGATACTAGTTGAAGTCATTCCTTTCTCCCTGGCTCTATGTTAAGGGTAAATATCAAATGTTGCAGTAATGTTACAGATGTTATAGTAACAAAACAATCCTTATCAGTGCTCCTTCTTCTGCATGGAGATCTAATGGGAAAAGTTGGGTAGAAGTTGCTGGCATTCCCTTTCTTAGTGAGGGATAATTGATCTCAATCAACTATTTAAAAACTTACTATTGCCAGGTACCTGAGTGTCTGACAAATTTCAGTGAGGCTTAAGTCTTAGTTTTGCTTGTCAGGGTGGATGTGTTTCCTAATGTACTCAGCATGTTGACCATGAGTTAAGTCTCTTAGCAGCTTTCAACTATTTCTAGAATAAATCTGATGCTTGTAGGGAGTTGGTACTTGCACTATTTCAAGTCTTGCTTTTTGATAAACTCAAGCTTTCTCTTATAAAATTCACTTCACAAAGACAGATGTCTTCTTTCCAAGTAATGTATCCTTACGTCTTTTACTAGCGAAGTGCAGCTACAGAATCTTCTACTGGAGTAGCTAGGAAGTAATAGGCTCTTCAGTGTGACTTTATTAAGAAAGTAAAGCAATAATCGGGAAGGGACAGGCAAGAGATGGGCCAGTGTAGACCATATGTACTTGATTTCCAATTCTGTCCTCTTTATAGCAAACCTGAATAGTAAAAGGTGGTTTAGCCTCAGTGAGGCAGAAGCACCTGGTTATAGCAATTTTGCAAAAATGTTCTAATCTGTCCCAAATACGTTATAAAGAAGTGCCAGATCCATGATTACTGAATTCCAAAATCCATATGGCATTTATTGAAATAAATGCACCAGTCCACATCCCCTATTATTTCAGCATGCTCATTGAGTTTGCCAGGTAGCTGTGCAAATGTCACTTGATTAAAATTTTTTGGAACTCGTTTTTTAATAAAAGTGTAAACAGGAAAGGAACAAGCGTGATGTCTGTAACCTCCTCCCTCTATGTATTTGGAGCTCGTATTTGTATGCTGAGGTTTGCAGCCCAAATTTGCAAACTCTTGACCTAAACGATCTCAACTGTCATGGGAGGTAAGGTATTAGAAATGACAGACTACAGCCTCTTCCCCTACCACCTTCTTCCCTTTTTTACTAATAAAGAGAAACAGATCTCTGCTGTGTTCTCTATTAAAATGATGATTGGAAAAACTGTTATATTCCTGTTTTAGAAGATTGGTAAGGATTGTGAAGTGAATCAGGATTTTACTTGCCCATTAGATAGCTAAGATGGATAGCTTTTTCTACCACTGATTTTTTTTTTTTAAGTAGTAAAGGGAAAACATTTTGCCTTCTGTCAAACAGTACTGTAACTCTCCACAAGTGACATAGTAGGAGATGTCTGGATATTGAGTTGCTTTTTTTTCTTGTTTTTCTTGTGATGTGTCTGTTACCTTGTAATAACTGTACTAAGCAAAATCTAGAAGAAAACAAATTGTGTTCTAGTAATTTGTGGTATGTATCCAGATACTAGCATAAGGATAAATGGTGTAGAATAAATTGTTCATTTAGGAAAAAATTATAAGCAGATTGGTACCATCCAAATGAATATATGAGCCTGATTGTGACTGAAAGAACACGTGTTACATTTCAACTGGACATTCTGAATTTCAACTCCAACAATCCATTAAAATGTATTCTTGTTTTGCAGACAAGGTTTTTTTCCCCCACCCCTCAGGTGAATAAGGATCTAATGTTCTTGCTCTTCAGTGACAATGATGAGTGATTTTTTTTTTATTTTTTTTTTTCCCCCTTGTGTGTAAGAGAATCTTTTTTTAGGTCATGAAGACAGACTAATATTTTGATCATATGGCAGTAGTAGTTTCAGGTACTGTTTAACTAGAAAGCTAAGTTAAAGTTGTATGGCTAATTTTAGTTCTGCCGTTTCTGAAAAATGGAAGATTTAAAGCTAAATTTTATTTGTTGTGAACAGTTTGGATGAATGACCTGTTGCAGAGTGCTAGTGAAGGCCCCACACCATTCATTGCCATGCAGAATACAGCAAAGAGCAGTGGTGCAGGAATCATCTGCTTGAGAAGCTTGTTCAGTTTGATGGGCAGAGTTACAGAAAAATAAATAAATGCAAGTGGAGATGGTGAGGAGAAAAGGGAAAAAACTGCTCCCTTCTGAAGGCCCTGGAGAACGGCTACATTTCGCCTTCACCAAAACTGAGTGCCTTTGCTATTGCTGGGGTCAGCATTGGATCTATGAATGTTGTGATTAAAAAAAAAATAAAAACAGAAGACTTTTGATTTGATCTTGGCTGCTCTGCTAAAGCACTCAGCCTCTGTGTTCCCTAATGACCACTTGGATCAATGGTTTAACATGTGAGAATATTAAGGTAGTGAATGAGAAATGTAGCTGTGTGTGCAGGGTAGGAAACTCTGCTTATTTAAGTAGATGTTGCTCTTGCAGAGATGAGAGCAAAAGAACAATATCCTGTCTGCCCTGGTATAAAATAGACTTGAACAATCACAAGTATGGTCAGGAAAAGTAGCCTTTTATCTGTTAATAATTAATATAAATCCTTCTCACAAGCTGTTTGCTCTCAGTATTGTATCTGTCTCATGAGGGATTAAATGTTATTTTGACCAAACACATCATTCTGTATTAATCAGTTATGTGCCTGTACTGAGTTTTGGATTAAGAGATGATAGACAACCTGGAAACAATTACACGTTTGTTCTCCCTTACCTATATACTTTTTTAAATGTCTCGGAGAAAAAAGATGTCCGTAGCAATGAACTAGAGCAGAGATAAACACATAGTTAAGATGCATTATCTTTTATCATTTTTCAAATGTAGCCCCAGAAGATGTTAAGCTGCTTAACATAGCTACTATTTCAATATCGAAGTCATTCACGTACCAACACCACTTTTAATTCCTTGTGTGCCAATGCCTTAGACTTACTGATGTTACTTTCCATATGTAATTATATCTTAATAGTTATTCATTGTGTCAGTTCTTTCACAACTAGAGATCTTTGTCCCTAAATGTTTAATTAGAGTGGTTGGCATTTTATTTACAGTTGGTGTTTGAATCATCTCAGATACCACAGAGGGTGGCAGCAGAGTCTCTCTGCAC